CCCTTACATTCCAAAGGGACCATGGCCAGGCCAAGGCATAAGACAATCCCTGCCTTCTAGGCTTCTGTCCATCATTCCTCATTTCTGAAAAGACTCTTATTCAGAGATGCTTCCAGTCAAACAACCTATACTTCTTATTCACACAGTCAATAAAAACAGAACATTATCTACTTCTGTTGGATGTTGCCCCTCTCAATTCAGGCTCTTAAAAGCATTTCATGAAACTTGTTTGGGTATTAAAAACTGCCTTTCTCCTCTACCTCCTAGTAAGACAAACAAGTGCACAAGAGTCAAGAATCTGACCCAATGCCTGCACCAGAAGAGTCAACACCAAAGCTAGAAAGAGCCCTGAAGACCTCAGGTTCTAACCACCCACTTATCCAGCCTCTCTTTGTTGATTAATATCTCCACAAAGCTTTACATACCTTGACAGGTCAATGAGACCATAGGTGGTAAAGTAGAATTGTTACCTGTTGAGGTTTGTTGCAAAGTGTTCAGGAGGATTTAAACGTCTGTGTAAACTTGCTGTTTCTTTAATTTATAAAATTGGCATCTTATTCTCTAACATTTGCAATAAGTGGGCCTGACTCCTACCCTGATTGGGCTCTGATTAATCCTGAAGCTTGAATTTGTCCAGGGCCTGAAAATCTAAACTCACATTATTAAAAAATCCCACTATTCTCTTTTCATGGAATCACTTCCAGGAGCATACAAGGAAAAGATATTATTATTTTTTTCACCAAATGTCAAATCAAAACTTTCAAGATAATATTTTGCTTTGAAAACCTCTGAGGTGAGAGATTAGAAGTGGAAAATTGGCTATTGGTCTCCTGGATGGCCTAAAGAATATTTTCAAGGATCAACATTCTTCTCCAGCACAAGTCTCCATAAAGTTAGTTTGACTACCTTCTCCCAGCTTCTTAAGTAGTAAATTCCCTTTTTAGGAATCCCATTACTCAGAATTGACTCTTTAAGGGTATTCAGGTGTTATGAGTACATGCTTCAGTCCTAACCACTGATCCTGTCAGCTGTGCTTCCTAAATATCTCACAAATCCATCTCCCTTCTAACTTCACAGGCCCCTAAGTCCTTCTTTGTAATTATATATGAAGTATGCCCATATTTGATTGCTCAAGAGCAAGGATTTTTGCCTCTTTCTCATTAGACATTTAGAACAGTGCCTGGAACACAGTATGCACACACACAAAAAAAACATATAGGTTAAATAAGTGAATACACTAACAGAATTTCATGAGTGATTGAGAGAACAGGCAAGTTCAATGTTTCTAGAACAACTCTGGGTCCCCAGCCTCACGTTCCTCCTGCCCAATCTCCACACCAGAAGGAGAATAAAACACATGTTTAATCATAGAATGCCATCCCTTACAGTTTTTTCAGTAACTCCTTACCCACTACAAACTAAAATCTATAGCCAACAAATAAGGCTATTTGGGATCTGGCCCTGTCTCATTTCCAGTCTTCTCTTACTCCTCCTGTACCCGGCATTGACTAACCATGCTGAGTCACATGACAAAAGACAATGGTCTTTGCAACTGCAGATAGATAAATGCCTTCTTCCCTGCTCTGACACCTTCCCTTACTCTGTTTACCCAACATTCTCAACTCCCTTTCAGCACTCACGTTGATCTTGCTTTTTCTGACATTTCCTAGCCAGTTCATGCTTCCTTCTGTGTTCCCACTGTGACATGATTGCATGGCTGTCCTCCCAATGGCTTGTGAGTCTTTCTTCATTCTGGTATAATCTACGCCTAGCACAATGTCTAGCATAGCGCAGATGTTCAGTAAATCACTGAGAAATTATTAAATGAGTTCTTGAAACTCATGAGCTCTAAATTCAATGAGTTTAGAATTATTTTCAAAATTCTTTACTTCTCTTTCATCGTCTATCTCCTCAGACTACCGGCCCACTACTTTTTAGCTTTGTCATAGGGGGAAAATTATTTAATCTATCTTTGTATCAGTTTTGTCATTTGTAAAATGGGAAAGATAGTAGTACTTCTGTCAAAAAAGTTGTTATGAGCATCAAATGGATTAATATCCTTTGTTGCTTAGAAAAGTTCCTGGTTTAAAGCAACAAATGCTTATTACTTTGTATAAGGAGGAAGAATTAGGGAGGAAGAGATAAGACCCCAAATCTCTGGTTAAATATTAAATTATTTAAGGACCCACTAACTAATGGTATAACTAAGATTATAATTAAAGCTTATAAACCTCATGGATAGTATGACCATAAACATATGATACTAGTTTCCAAATGAATTATGATAACTTGTATATGAGATCAAGGTATGAACATATTCCATGTGAAAAGCCATTTAAATTTTGAATTTAAATTTTTAGGCCCCCACTTTAATATTTATGACATGCATATGAGGTACAGAAAGGCAAATTAAAATAGCCAGTTTGAAATAAAAATCCACATACAAGTTCAGTTCTTCCCTAACAATTAATGGATTATCATGTAATCCCCACTTAGGACAGATCTGGAGCTTTGGCTCAGTAATTGCTTAATTTTTCATGGATGTTAAAATGCATGACTTTTGCTTTAAATGTAGAATTATAGTGCAGTTTTCGCACATCTACTTCTTCTAGATTGTGAGCTAATTGAGGACAAGAACAGAGGTTTGAGTAAGCCTTATAAATCTCTGGACTTAGGTGCAATTGCCTAAAATTCTACTGAGTACTTACAAAATACACAAAGGGAATCCTTACATTCAAAATAAATGTGCCACCAGGTAGGACATAAGAAAGGGTACTAGAGTCAGCTTTTATGGAAATTTGATCTCATTCTAAAAGGTACTCAGTTGAAATATAACTTCATGTCTACATATTTCTCAGTATTTCTACTATAATCACTTATACATAAAAGAAGCCCAACTAAACCTGTGTTGATTCTTATCTTCAGGAAATCTCTATATGACAACTATTTTTTAGACATTTATATGACAAAATTTTGGATTTTAAAAAAGGTAAAGATAGCCTGAAAATTTGGAAATTATTTGAATTTTGCACAATACAACCAAAAACCACAGATCAGAGCTATCACCTCTTGAATTTTAAATCTTAACCTAAGAAGATATGAGCCATATAGAAAAACCACAGATAATTTGCTGAAATGCAGCTACTTATAGTTAATATCTATCCTGTTGGAAAACACTTAGACTCACCATTTTAGCTACATTAATACTGATGGATTAAGCATACAATAAACAAAAGTATTCCCTTTGTAAACTCAAAAGTCTTTAGCCATAAGCCATAATTCCTTTAAGTTTCTACAGCCTAGGTTTCCACCCAGCTGTCTAGTACTGAAAGTTAAATGCTCAAAACTGGAGCTTTGGCTCAGTAATTGCTTAATTTTTCATTGTAATACCTCTTCATGGATGTAAAATGGATGAATTTTGCTTTAAAAAATAAATACTTCTTTTTTCTTGCAGTTTTTTTTAACTGTAATTATTTTTGTGTCAGAAATATAATTGTGCTCCATATTGAAAGCTAACCCAGTGGGGAAATAATTTTGCACAATTACAGAAAGTTTTAATAAAAGACTGATAAGTAAAGTTTTGAATTTTTAATGCATTCTGCAGGCGGTTGAGTGCCTTTTGCCATCTCTGTCACTTATCATTAAAGCTGTGTGAAAGGGAGGCCTACCTGTTATACTTGACGTGACTGGTGAAAGTGTACCCTGACAAATACAAGTGAAACAGACAAAAGTCAAAATGAAAGAAAAAATTAAAAACAGTCACAGTTTCATAGCTAATTTAACATTAATGCCTCCCCTTTACCCACAAAAATGTCTTTGTATTTAATATTCTGTTCTTACCTACTTATTAGCCTACCATTGTGAGTGTTAAATTCCTGTATAGCATACAGCAATAATTCATTTTTATAAAAGCACATCCTATTTCCAGGGCATGCTTTTTGGCTTAATTTGAAAAAATTACCCTCGTCTGACAGAGAAAACACTTTTAAACATGCATAACCTACACATTTATGTGCAAGCTAAATCCAAAGAGTGTAATCTATCTAAGCTTTCTGTGACGAAGGCATCATGAGAGCCATCCTGCAGACTGCACTGAATTTGCTTCAAAGCTGCAGTTTGACGTCTTTCTACTGGTATTTCCTTCTCATGTTTGTTTGTTTGTTTACCCTGATTCTGCCAGACCCTAAACAACCCACCCAGATCCTTGCCACTTTCTTCAGTTTTGTGTCTAATAAGAATCACCTGCCTGTATTCTAGTGCTCTGTCCACAGACTGCAAGGACTCAGGGCTCTGGATTCAGCCTCCCTGCCCTCTACAAACTGGCACGGACAATCTTGTGGCAAACATCAAATTGTCACTTGGTTTCATGTGACTGCTGCCTAATAAGTTTATTTTGGATCAGACTGATTTTCCAGCATATGCTCCAGATAGAATCTTCAAATGGTGCAAAGTGGGATTTTCAAATTATGATCCTGAGCAATTTTTTTTCCCCTCATCCACTTACATGTAATCTAAAAATAAATACCCAGGCGCCACCAGGATGTGACAACTTCAGCAAACAAAATTGAAAATAGCTGCCTTACAATAGTCTCTCCCTCCAAATGAAACAGGGGAGAATATACCTTTAGAGAAAAATACAGCGCCTGTTAAGGAACAGACGAGCTACTCACAGCAGGTTTGTGAAGAGAGGCACAAGGACATAAACAGCTCAGGATGGGTATCAAGCAAGGAAAAAACCAGCCAGCAATCACTGTGCTGAATCCCGGAAGGGGCGCGGGGAAGTGGTCACAGGTGATTGTCATGTGTGATAATTATTATTACTGTACACCTGCTCCTCCGCACTAATTAACTTTGGATATGCAAATCAATCCTATTGCATCATGCCCCTGCTCTCCTCCCCTACAGATAAGAAGATGTTCAGCTGCTGGATTTAATTAGGATAATGAACGCCAGGCCCACGGTGGCTTGGCAGGGGAGGTGGGGGGGAAGCTGTGACTGACCTTTTCTCCCAAAACGTTGACATTTTCTAAGGCTTCTGAGCACTCGAAGTCACCTCCATGGCTGGGACATTGATAGGAGCGGATTGATGAGGTGTCATTAGAGGAGAGACGCCGTGGCCCCAGCGTTTGCTGGGAGAATACAGCAGGTGTTCTGACAAGGACACACACCATCACTGTTATTTGCCAAACAATTCTCTTGATTCACTAAAGTCAAGCATGCCAGCATTTCTTTATAAAAGAAAACAAGGCTGTTTTTCACATCCACCCAGAGGAGAGGTCATCACTAAATTGCATTTCTGAATTACTTCTCATTTCACATCAATATATTAAAAAGGTTTCTATTATTCCTCTCCCTTCACATCCTCCTTCCCTCTGTACCCTCCAGGCTCCCCCAACCCAGCACTGCCCAGAATCCTGATGGCACGAGAGCTGGGAACATCACGTGGTGGTAAGTTCAAAAGGGTTAACTTTGGTCATATTAATCCCTATATTCTATTCCTGTGACATAAGGCCACACAAGGACTTCTATGGGGTAGAACAGCATCTTCTTGTTTGGATATCTGGCCTACTTGTTTATCAAAAAATTGTTTTCAATTATGTGTGTGTATATATATGTATGTATATATATAAGCCTTATTTGAATTTCAAATTCAAAGACATGCATACAAAATCATACTGAGGAACACAGACTGCAACGCGACTCTCTTTTTCTCTCTGATCATTTACTCAGCTTTAACTTTTTAGGCATCTGTGTGTGCTGAGCCTTTCCCATCTTTACCGTTCTGACACTGGAGTTTTATATAGTAATAAAATAATACCATATAGATTACTTTTTTTCCTGACTCTCTTCTTCATGTATTAAATTATAATAGAATAATTTCAGTACACTCACCAGTTTCAGAGGCGAAATAAAGCCCCCTTGATATATCTTAAAAATCAAGGGGATCAGATCCCAACAAGACAACACTAAAGTTCCATATCTAGAATAGAGCAGAAAGGTAGCAGAAACTATCCCTATATTTAAAAAAATAATTCTGTTTGCACATTGAATGAGCTTTCTTTTAAGAAAACAGTTTTGTGATAGTACATTTTTTTTTGTATCTAAGAGATGATCTACTGATCTTTTCTCTGAAAAAAATCTCATTGATAACATAGAATAAGTACCATAAAAACTGCAATGAATTCAATGATATTTGCGGATGGGCTGGAGATACTTAAGTTAATGAGTTTTCCAGTACTTAAAAAAAATCAGGTTGTCAAACCTGGAACTGTGAGGTAGTGGGTAATCTAGCCATCTAACGTAAAGGAAAACAACTAGTGCAAGGAAAACTGCTATCTTTCTTTTTTCTTCCCCTCTGAGGTGTTGCAAAATGTTGGAATTAAGTTATCGGGTTCATCTCTTATAACAAGATAGCTGCTTAAATGCTATAGTTTGCAGCTGGTGGCAGTTGGCCTTTTTCTGATCACGTGCTTCCAATAATGGGGTTTCAGCATACACCAACCCTTCATGTTTGGCAAGGTTCAGCTTTAGAGACTCCACACTTGGACTATTAGCAAGGAGCAGGATGTGCCATATACTAAGGGGATGAACCTTAGTTTCCTTTTTTTTTTTTTTTCAGTTCCCTCGTTTTACTTAGACTGCCTTTACAGTTACTGGTGGTTTCCCTCTTACTCCTCCCTCTCAAGCACTTCAGCTCTGCACCTTCTATCATGAAACTGCCACAGCTGTCCCTAGAACCATTCTGGGTAGCTCTGCCTGGCCCCCTACCCCAACAGTTTTCTCAAGAGCCACTGCAGCTCAATCCATTAAGAATATTCTCAAGTATATTGTCTTTTTTAATTTTTATTGTAGCATTGGTTTGCTGTCAACATTAGCACTAGAGACTTAGAGCTGGTGAATCAAGAGCCCCAGGTCATCGTCCTTGGGGAAGCAATGCCTGGCTCTGGAGAAGAGCAGAGCAATTCCAGCCTCCTTCTCTGGCTACATACACTTGCAGATCTTGACTTCTTGGAGCAGGGTCCTGGGAGGGTTCACAGGTCTGTGAGCTGGGTACAAAAGGAAAGAAAAGTCACCACCATCTCAACCTTACTACATAGAGTCATTGTAGAGGTTCATGTCTAAAGAAGAGATGTAATTAAATCAGAATTTAAGGAGTTGGCACTCAAAAAGTTTTACTCCAAAGTCACAACAGTAATTCGAAAGGTTCACTTCAATACCTCCTAGCTGAGTTTTTCTCCCTGTTTTCTCTCACTGGCTATGTGCACGAGGGCAAGTTCTTTGGTTGACCTCTCTCAACTTCAGGTTCCTAATTGCATTCTCTAAAATAAGGATCATAATAGTACTCCTTCAGAACTTGGGTGAAGATTAATGAGGTAATGTATATGTGGCTCATAGTGTTCAGCTTTTAATAAATATAAGAAAGTATTTGTGTGTCTAATGATGAAACTAACCTCATGGTATTTCTCAAAGCTGCTTACCTAGTATATATACCTCATCAGAGAATTGTAGGCATTTAAAGCTGCTGCTTGTAAGAGCCTTTGGCACCTCTTTGGGAACAGTGCTTTGTATTTTCCTGTTGGAATACGAGCGATATACTTGAGCATCATTTCTTGTTCATACAAAAGAAATCATAAAAGCCAAGAAGCTGGATACAAACAGAAAATTTAAATACTAGTTACCTGTGGTCTTTGCACATGTATTTTGTCTGAATTTAAAAGTATATATCTTAAGTTCTGCAGTTTGAGAATGCATCTTCTGAACTTCATGAACAGAAATCTGTGGGTATTCTAGATATTTCTGCATACAATTTAAACTCCACAATACAACTTCTATTGATTGTTTCATTTTTGTTTTCACTTTTTGATCAAAAACAAACATACAACTTTTCTGACATACTATAATAAGCTATAAATGCATTGCCCATTTTTGAGCCTGCATATCAGAAATCTGGTACAAGATAGTGAAATTCTCCATATTTTTGTGGTGGAGACAAACATGAATGAAGCTTTGGGTCATTCTGCCTCTCACACTGGCTTAACGTTAAGCACTGACCTTGTGAATCATTTGACTTTCCTGAATCTCAACTTCCTTGTCTATGAGGCCTTCAGTCTTTTGTATATGTACTAATCACCAAGGGATTTTGATAAAAGGAAGACTCTGAGCAATGGGTTCAGGGCAGGGCCTGAGATTCTGCATTTCTAACAAATTCCTAGGTGATCAAGATGCTGCTGCTCCACAGGCTAAACTTTGAGTAGCAAAGGACTGGATACATTCTTGAAAAACTGCTGAATAATTTGGGGTCTCTCTAAACTTTTCCATGAGAAAGCATGTCATAATGGCCCTAAACAGGGATCAAACCCAGTCCCTGCATGGGTATAACCCTTTGCAGCTAGCAAAGTGCTTTCACATTCATTTAGTCAGCACAGCATTTCTGAGACGAACCTAAACTCAGAAACATTGAATCACTGGCTCAAGATCATACAGTCACATTGTCAATATGTGGCAAAATCCTGGATCAAACATAATCCCCATCTCCAGCTAGCCGTGCTCAGACACCACCATGATTTCCATGGTCACTTCTGCCTTCAAAGGACCCCAAAGGCATGAGAGCTGAAGAAGGCCTTACAGCCTAATTTAGTTGTATACACAGCCATATGTGTATGTATTTATTTAAAATTACCTAAACATAGATAAAATCTCATGTTTACCTGTTAGAGCTGACTCAAGACTTCTATTTTCTTTCACATCTTTCAATTATTTTTCTGCTGCCTCCCTATTCATCAAGTACAGAAAAGGCTCTCAGGCCAGCATGTGCATTTCCAGTTTCAATTGCTCCAGTGCATGAGTTCTAGATCTTAAAGGCCAAAAAGCATCTATTTGACTAAAGAGCTATAAGGCAGCCCATAAAAATTATGGATCACAGAAATAAGCAATTAGTGTTATCTTCAATTGCTTTATTGGCAGTATTCACTCGTTAGAATAGAGGCAGCCGTAAAACAGATTGCAACATACTGTATAACAGCATATGGGATTTTACATTATAATGCTATTCTCTGCCAAGAAGTCATATTTTCATTTGAATGCATGGAACAGATTATCACAGGGTTTCCAGCATTAGAAGTGGATGACCCTCACTCTTTTTTGTAGTTGTTGTTAAAAGGCAATTCCTGAAGTTATAACTAAATCAGCATCAGTGCAGTGGTGAATAGGGCTGTGTTACAGGCCCACATTCTGGGCCTCCGGAGACTGGGCATGGCATGGAGCTATAGCAGATAATAAAGTCAATCTCTAACATGGAAGAGACAGGGAGAGCTGAGGGTTTGCCAGTCTTCCAAACCAGCTGGCGTCAATTCTGGTGGAAGCTGCTCACCCGCCCATCTCATCACAGCTGAAGTGCCACAAAGGGCACTACTAGGGGGGAGATGGAAATAAAACAATAGGAATAACTAATACAACAAAGAATAGGATCTGTATTTAACCTTGAGAGACATCTTCTTGACATCTACTCTGCCATTTTCACAGAATGTGCATGTGTGAATGTGTTTGTGTATTGAAGATCATTTATATAGAGGGTTTTAAATATCCATAGTCTATAGCACATTTCCACAGGCCGACTCTACAGCACAATCACCCAGGAGCCTAGAGTTCAAGATTTTCCCTATCCCCTCACACATTTTATGTTTCAATATGGTACACCTGGAGATGGGGCTGAATGCTCACTCTCCTGTTTCAACAGTTCAAGTTTGAAAATGAGAATAGAAAAGTACATGTCACAGGTTCTCTTTCCAAGATTAGCCTGTGATGTAGTAAATGAAAGGCTTTGAAAGGCAAAAATTGCTGAAAAGGAAACTTGTGTGGTTTCAAATGAGAAGTCATATTGTTGCACTCACAGTTGATCAAATAAATTTTAATCACCAAATGTATTTATGTCACTTCACACATAATCACAATATATTTCAAATGTGTTTTTAAATGATGAATAAAACACACTGGGAGGGCAAAAAAAAAAGTCTTCTTTTATAGAACCACAGATACAAGGGAGCTAGAGGCATATATAGTAATTTACCAGAACAAAGAAATATGTTTAAATTCATTTCTGTGTGCTTCTCACTATTTATTCAGATCTAGTAAGATCCAGCTAATCTGATAAAGTCTTGAGTTCATGCACAATACACTATGTTAAAAATAGACTGTAATCTTAGGTAACCTTTCAATGAATTGATGTGTTTTCTTAAGTAAGTTTTCTAGTTTTAAGTCTATGAAAATTATTTTAAAATTATTTTTAAAAAATCCTTATCATTTTGGAAAAAGATTATTATAAATGATTATGAAGACAATAATAATGCCAAACTATAACAGAGCTGCCCCTTTTTATCACATGTTT